GAGGACACTCCCCCAACTTCACACAGACACACACACACACACACACACACACACAGACACATACACACACACACACACACACACTGAGGTGCTGAGGCCACGTGATGGACCCGTGCTGCCCGTCTCAGTGAGAAACACAGAGGCCGACGATGGGGCCCATGGGCCGGCCCCAGCCGCCCCTGGCACAGCAGGTGAGGGGCTTGGTCCCGGTGCTTCTAGAAACGTGTCCTCAGAAACACGTTGCACAGTTTGTTTATTTGCAAACACTGCTCCCAGCGACTCCATGCAATGGTGTTAGTTTATACACGTTCTGGCAGACACGCCTGCACCAGGGCACTCACCACGCACCCAGCCTCCCCTGAGAGAGGGGCAGCTCTGCCTCCTCCCGGGGTCCTCTGGGCGTTGGGGCTGCTGTGCACACAGGCCCGGAGAGCACAGTGGTCCCTTCCTCGGCCCTGCCTCCACCCGACCTCCTGGTGCGGCTGGTGGCTCAGGCCCCGGGGCGGCCCCAGCGGCAGAGCAACGCCTGGGCCCCAGCGCCCAGGCCAGGCCTCCCCGGCGGCGGCAGCGCTAATGTGCTGTCCTGCACGTGGGATCGTGGTCTCCCCACACGGGAGCAAGCCGCATGCGTGTGCTCAGCTGGGAACCGGTTTAGGCGGCGTTGAGGGAAGCTGCCTTGGGCTGTGCAGGACCGTGGTGCTGGGGACTCAGCAGCGAGCAGGACAGAAGCCCCTGCTGGTCCACCAGACAATGAATGCTGAGATTAAAGGGCAAGGGCTCAGACAGAGACGCGTGGGCAGGAGAGTAAACACAGAGGAGAGTGAGTCCCGGCAGACAGATTGCAGTGCAGAGTGAGCAGGGAATGAGGACACGCACAGACCAGCGAGCACCACCGAGGCCGGGAGATGAGAAAGCCACGCGGCCCTGGGGGAGGGCATCGCTGTACCAAGGCCGAGGCCCTGCCTGGTCCTCTAAGGGGCAGTGAGCAGGCCGCGCTGGAGCAGAGGGAGCCGTGGGGAGACAGGAGGGGGAGCCAGCGTTAAGGAGGGGCTAGGAGGTCGAGGTTGCTTAGGTGAGCAAACCGGAGTGTGTGGATTCCTGGGGAAAGGTCTGCTACAGGTCACGAGCTGTGCAATGATCAGGGATGACATGAGATATTTCACGTGCGGAGTGAGGAGGCGTTTATATAATCGGGAGATGTCATGCTGGCGATCACGTCCTGACCTCCTCAGGGACCCTTTACTAAATCTTGCCCTGAGTGCACCCAACATGCGGAGAAGGGCAGGGAGGGTGCCGGGCAGCAGGGGAGGAGGTGGCTGCTGTGTCGCGGGCTGTCTGCGGGAAGCTGCAGAGTGAGGTTCAGGTGGGCCAGCCCCTCAGACCGCCCTGCGCACCCTTCGCACGCCCTCCATTCCCGTGTCTGTCTCCTGAACGCAGTGCGCTGTCCGCCCGTAGCTGGTGCACATGGCCGCAGAGGGAACGGAGGAACTCTGTCCATGAAGGAGGAACTCTGAGTGTCCCTCAACTATCAGTGGCTAGGGACTCCATACAGCATGATGCGGGATGGTGTCACCTGCAACATTACTTTTCTATTTTAAACAGATTGTTCTCCCGTAATTGGCTACTTCCTGATTTGATGGCAGATTATCTATTTCATTTAATGAAGCATACTTTTCTGCTGCGACCACTGTTTTCCGCCAGGAAGTCGCTAAGCCAGGGACGAAGTCTGCCAGTGCCTTAGGGATCCCTGCGCCTCCTCCCTGGGGGTCTCGGGTACCAGTGGGCATGTGCGCCCATGGCCTCTCTGTGCGTTAGCTACAGAATTGCTCGGAGATGCCTCTATCACACTCGTTCTGGTTGTGGCATACTCGGTTCCTTTTCTACAGGAAGAGAAATACTATAACTGATGGGTCTGGTGATTTGGGATGATTAAAAAGCGCACACAGCCCTGGCCGGCGTTGTTCAGTGGTTAGAGAGTCAGTCTGTGCACAGGACGGGCGAGAGTTGGATTCCCAGTCAAGGGCATGTGCCTGGGTTGCAGGTTCGATCCCTGATCCTGGTCAGGGCGCATGTGGGAGGAGGCCAATTGATGTGTGTCTCTCACATTGACGTTTCTCTCTCTCTCTCTAAATCAGATGCCTCTCACTGAGCACACGGAAGTCAGGGAATCGGCCTTAAGTGGGACATGCTATGTATGCGTCACGCAGCCACAGCCGCAGAGGAAGTGGCGGAGTGGAAGTGGACAACACTCAGGGAGCACACATGCCATGGGAAGAGCCGGCCCCTCACCCGCAGACAAGGGGCCAGGCTGTCTGACGCCCGGTCCCTCAGACACAGCCACCGCTGATTGGCTTGCTTATCTGCCAGTCCCCCTCCCTGCTCTCTGTGGTGTGGAAATGAAGGGCTCTGGTGGACAGCAGGTGTGCCAATCAATGACCTGCCTGGCCTGGGGGGTCGGACAGGGGAGGAGTGTCCTCACATAGACCCCCAGGGCACTTTCCCCCATTTCGGGCAACCGGGGTCAGGAGACACTCCGCCCCCTGGGGGAGCCCAGGCTGCCTCGTTAGGGAGTCTTTGTGACACGGTGTGGGGCCTCGGCGATGCTCACTCACCTGCTCTTCCCCGAGGATCCTGAAGTGATGAAGCTCTTTGATCAAGGAGTTGGGGCAGCCGGCTGTTGGAGAGAGAAATCAGTGACAAACAGGAATCAGACGGGGTCAGCTCCAATTCTAAATGTTGGGTCATGTGGGACATGGTCTTCCTCTTTAAGTGACTGGATGTAGCCCTTGCTGTCATAGCATCTCATGCTCTGGGAGAGTAGCTCACAAGTAGGACCAGGTAATGGTCACCCCTGACAACAGACACTAAAATGAATGGACATCCTGAGGGAAGGGTTTTGGTGAAAAGCGTAAATTAATGGCGAAGGCACGTCTGAGACTATAGAGACGAGACCTCGATGCTTGACGTGAGAAGACCACTTGGCCGAGCTCCTCCCACGGAGGCCTGCGGGGAAGTGGCTCGGTTCAGAGTGGCGACTCAGGTGACTCTCGACTCAATGAGGGGTGGGGTTCTGGGTCACTTGGTTGCCTGCGATTCAACCAAAGACGGCCGCGGAGACACAGCCCCGTGTCGGTTCCTGAGGCTCAACTGTCTTTGGGAGCAAGGAGTCACCTTTTAGGTTGTGACACGAAGGAGAGAAGAACAGGCAGAGAGGGTTCCAGTCTCTGGAGCGTGGGAGTACCTGTGAGATGTGGGAGTACCTGTGAGACGGGGCCTGGGGTGGCTGTTCTGCTGGTGTCCCAGAAATACCATTTATCCCCCCAACCCCCAAGATCTTAGAGGCCAATTTAGTTAAAGCAGCCCAGGATGCAACTAAATAACTGAGACTTGCGACAGCATGCTGAGGGACAACAGACTATCAAGTACGTGCATATGGAGATGGATGTATAAATGTATGTACAGGGGTGGGAGGAAGTAGCCTTACAGCTGTGAGTATGCGAAAGTTTATTCTTCTATTCTTATGTACTAATTGCTGTGTTATTTATTTGTATTATGTAAACCTACTATATGCATTTATACATATCATCAGGTCAGATATTCCCAGAAAAGTATGGATAGTATACATTTAGGGCTTTAAGTTTGCTGTCTTTTTATTAACTTATTTATTCCTTTATTCACTACAGTAATCTAAAGTGATTAATAAGCAATGTGATATTTTTATTTGATTATCATAAAGCTTTATGACATATTTTTACCATCAAACTAGCTGGGAAGTTTTTCTGTTTGTTTGTTTGTTTGTTTTAAATCTCACTGGTCATTTCAAATTTCACCCTTTGGGGCAGTAATGAAAATAACTTGAGCCAAGACCCCCAAACACATCCACTTATCCAAACATGCAAAAGGGAAACGAACTCAAATTTCGGATTAAAGGGCCAGTTAGTCACCACTTCCCATGCCTTCTGCTCCGCCGCTGGGTCGGCCAGAGCACACAGAAGGCACCGCTTGAGTACACAGTCAACAGATGGATGCGCATGGCAAACAAGCTGCGGCCAAAAGCAAATATTCCACAAAGACGCCAAAGGGAAGAACTGATGAAGCGCGATTCCGTTTAACCCAGGCTGACCTAGTTTTCATTGGGGATGGGGGTGCGGGGGAGGGGGGATTGGAAGGGAGGAGAATGGGCTGTTTCCTACTCGCAGCCGCTCTGTCATACTCAAGGTGACTCACCTTGGTCACACAGGTTGTAAATGAACCAGCTGGCAGAGCTGAGTAAGCCACGTCCCACCTCGAAATTCTACCTCTAAATCCCGTTTTGAAAAGTTAAAAAAAAATCCAAGTGTTTCTCTCTGGCGTCTCACAGATCCCGGCAGTGCCTCGGGGATGAGGCTCCGGGAGTGTTCGTCCAAACACTTAGGAAAGGGGTCCTGGTTCTGCCCTCACTTTTCTTTAGTGTAAGTTCCTCCTGAAGTCTCTTGTTCTGTCCCCTCTGACGTGGGAAATGTTCTCTTTGCCAGGAAAGCAGGAGCCGGGGGCCTCGTCGCCTGCTAACACTGTGCTTTCTTTTTCGTCCAGGACCCTTCTCTTCCTGTTATTCCCTTATTTTTCTTGTCCTTGTCCAGTTTTAAAAGCCTATTTAGTTTCCTTTGGCTACTTAAATTAGAATTTCATCTCTCTCTGGACTTATCCTGACTACACACTATTCCACTGTTTTACCTCCCCTTCGCCCCTCAGTTATGAAACGCCTTTCTCATCTTTTGTACTGGCTTCCTAAAATCCGAGCTCCCTGAAATAAAGGTAAGTTGCCTGTTTGGCATTAAAAGTAAATTAAAATGTTTATTTAAAAAACACACACATGACTCCAGAATGGACTCTTATTTTTTTAAAGGGTAACTTTGAAGCCAGGATTTTCCTTTCGGCATCTGTAACCCACAGGGGCGTTTATCCTGTTCCCTCGCCACGATCTAACTGGAACCTCCTCAGGAGAATGTGCTGCACAGGGCGGGTCCTGCCCACGAAGGCACCGGGAGATACTAAACCCCACGCCTCTCGGGGGTTCACTCAATGAACCTTTTCAGAAAGCTTTAGCGGAACTTTCCCAACAGCCGCCCTGTGAAGTAGGGGAGGCTCATTTGGAAAATAAATTCCAATAAAAAGCGTTACAGACCACATGAGTCTTCAGTGACTATTTTTCCTTTTAATTTCCTGGCAAATCTTTACAGGGGCACGTGTGATGTCCTTGGGGTTCAACGGAACACCGTGAGCACCAGGCCTGGGGGGATCATGGCGACGGAGCTCAGCTCTCTGATGTGCTGCTGGGACTGGCGTATGGCCCACACCGTCACAGGGTGCAGCTTGCTGCTGTGGGGTGTGAAGTGCTCAGAGGGTTATTCCTCTCTGGGGCACAGCTTCGGGTCCCTCCTGCAGGCCTGACGATGATAGCTACCTTCTAGCTCCCCTTTAAGTACAACTTGGAAAAGGAAGCTGGGCAAGGATGAAAAAGGCAGAGAAAATAAGTGATGATTCCATGTGATCAAAGACAACGCGGCCACACACGGAACAGCTGCCTCGAAGCATACGCCGGCGGGCACAGCTGCAGGCCGGCTCTGCGAGGGGCCAGGTGGGCTCCTGCCACTCGGTGCCACCGGGCGGACCGGGGGCTCCATTCCCTGAGCTGAAGAGACACTTCCAAGTTAGGCTGAGAGGCAGGCGTTGAGAGAATCCATGGAAAATTCACGACCGCCTCTTGGCTGAGCAACCGCATTCAAACTCAGCAGTGGGACTCGACACAATCACATCCAGGCATTGTCACTCTGGTAAATAAGACCCAGCTTATCTTTATTTATTTATTTTTGTTGTTAATCCTCCCCAGAGGATATTTTTCCATTGATTTTTAGGGAGAGTGGAAGAGGGAGGGAGAGACAGAGAGAAACATCGATGTGAGAGAAACTCATTGATTGGTTGCCTCCTACACAAGCCCTGACCAGGGCCTGGGCCGGGGAGGAGCCTGCAACCAAGGTACATGCCCTTGGCCAGAAGTGAACCTGGGACCTTTTGGCCCACAGGCCGACGCTCTATCCACTGAGCTGAACTGGCTGGGGCCAGCTTATCTTCATCACTGCTCTCTGCCAACAGGCATTTCTGCATGTCTATAAAGGACTGCTTTTCCATGGCCGATGCAGAATGGATCCGAGACTTCCCACACCAGTTCAAAAGCACCTTGAAGCTGGCCGCCTTGCACCGAGCGATCCCCTTGCAGGTGTGCATCGGGGAGAAACTTACAGTTACACAGGGGATGTGTGCAGAGCAGTCCCTGCCACAGCTGCTGTAATCATGGCTGCAGTAGAAGGAAACATCTAGAATGGCCATCAGTAAAAGAGACTACACCACAGGGCACCCACCCCTGCCAGGCACTGCTCAGGCGCCTGGGTCGCGTTATTAGGGAGGTGGAAACAGACACGAGCCCCCCTCAGAGCTTGCGTCCTAAGGGGAAGAGAGACAGCGGAAATCCCACAGTGGGTGGGAAACGATGTGATGCTAAGAAGGCGACGAGCTCTCCGTCCATAGGAGACGACGACAGACCCGCGTGAGGAGGAGAGCAGGCGGGACTGTTTGCAGTGAGTGTGGTAAGGAATCCTGTTCAGGTCCCACCACCTCCCCACCTGAAGCATCTGCCGTCACCGCTGCAGCCCAGCTCCCCAAACCCTATACGTATAGACTCCCCCTTTCTGTCCACGCGGTGGGCCTCTCCCTGCAGGAGGTTGGCGTCCTCAATAGGCTTCCTGGCGGGCATTTGGGAGAACGGACGCGGGATGTGTGACAGACGGTAACCGAACATTAAAAATACGGTAACAGAGCATTAAAGACACTTGACACTTTTCCCATTTGTATGTTGCTATGATGTCAAAACAATTTTAAAAATTAGAAAATTATTCTCGGCGTGTATATTCCCGCGACGTTGGCTAGCCTGCGTGTTGCATAAAACTCTCCCTTTGTAATTGCCCTATGTTTTGAGTGATTCTTACTCGAAATTTCTAGAGGGTGGCACTTTCATCAGCCACATGGCTCAGGTGACACGTTTAATTCGGGTGGTCCACACAGGAGCGACCCCTCAGGGCGTGAGGGTCTCAGGGCAGAAGGTGACCCCGCACCATGGCTCTCTCATCGTTGCTCTCAAAAGCTCATTTTGATTGAAATGAGAGGAGGAAAATGGGAAGGAATGGAGGTGATTTTAATACATTTTGAGTGAAGTTAACATGGTTTCCCATGGACTGTGGTGGTGGCTGGTTCCCACAAATGCGCACGTCAATGCCCAGGTAACATAATGGGGGAAAGAGCCCGTGGGACTGTGACCCCCGAGTGGGTCCCATCAAGAAGGACTCACCCCACAGACACTGCGTCTGATGAAGTTCTGTTGGGCCGGGCGCAGGGGGTCGGCGGGCGCTGAGTAATACAGTGACATCAGCGAGGGGTCTTCTGAGTAGCAGCCCCCGAGCCCCACACAACCTGCGCGCACACGCGCTTAAGGACACGCCTGCCTATGAGCTGGACACGCGCGGTCCGCGTTCCCGCGTCCTGCTCTCTGCCATGGAATGTGTTCTTTAACACGGACTTCCCTGGCATGCCCTCAGGCAGCGCTAAATCGAAACAATAAACAGTATCCAGAACGATGTTAGA